GGTCCCAGCTGTGTTCCTGTTTCTGCAGAGCCGAATCCAGGCCAGGAAGAGACGGGCAATGGGAAAATCACCGGCCTGGCCCCGGCTGCTCCGCAGCAGGGCTGTCCGCGTTCCCGCTACCGCCGCCCCGGCCCCGTCCCAGCCGCAGAGAGGGACAGGCCACCCTGGCGCTGGCCGGAGGCCGGGGCTGCACCCCTCGGTGTCCAGCTGGTCCCAGCTTGGAGGTGGACTCTAAGTGGGATGGGATTTGCAAGAGATCATGTCCCGTACCCGTCTGGCCGGCCGGGATTAGGGCGCCCAGACAGAGCTAATCACTCTAACGAGCATCTGCTGCCGGTCTGGAGCCCGGAGGGGCCAGGGAGCCCCGGTGTCCCGCGGAGCCTTGGCTGGAGCCCCGCGTGCTCGGGCACGCTCGTGTGCTGTTCCCGCAGACGGGGCCAGGTGTGTCCCTGCTCCGGGCAGCAGGGTTTTCCCCGAGGCCAGGAACACCGGGCGAGGACAATGGCACCGAGAGCATCCTGCTGGTCCCGGCCTCGGTGTGCCCCCGCAGGGAGCTGGAAGGGGTCGGGATGGGGGATAAAGGAGCAGAAGAGCCCCAGGAACACTGTCGGGGAGGGGGGCTCTCCCCGGCTCACACTCACCTTCACATTGCGAGGGGTCCCGTCAGAGTATGGGGACGGCAGCTGCTCTCCTGGCCCTGTCAGAGCAGGGGGGACAGGAGCTGCCCCCCGGGCACTGTCGGGGGGGTTGGGACACGCTCTGGGGGGTGAGCCCTGCAGAGCAGGTTGGGGCTGTGCAGGACTTGCTATGGCATGTAGGGAACTGAGAGCTGAGGACCAAGAGGGAGCAGGGTGGTTTGGGGAGCAAAAAAAAATGGGAAAGCAGGGAAGGCAGGATGGAAGCAACTGGTCACATGTAGGTATTTGATGGTCAGTGTGTGGGTATGGCCACGTCCCACGCCTGACAGCTGCATGGCCACTTCCAGTTCTCAGACTGTAGGACTGTTTCCCAGGGTCGGGGGGACTGTTGGAGGCTGACATGTGGAGCCAGATCATAGGGTCTGGAGATCAGTGGAGAACCCCTCATGTGTGTCTGTCACCCAACAGGGGTGAGCAGAGCTGAAGCTACTGGGCAGACTGGTGGGATCACCAGGATCCCCAGTCTGTGTCTGTGTGTGCTGGTGTCTGTGATGGGGCCGTGGCCTCAGGGGCTCATATGTCCAGGTGTCTCCAGTGGGAATTCTGGGAACGTGGTGCACCCATTTGGGCAGATGGCGTGTCTGAGCCCAGCTGCTGCAGCTCTGGGTCCCCGTACAGCCCTGCCCACAGGCCTCACCTGAGCAAAGGCAGCGGGATGGGCTGGGCCTGCCCATAGCATGTGGGACCAGCTGTGTGCACACGTGGAGTCACGTCTCGCACAGCTGTGTTTGTGTGTGCCCACAGGGACACACAACCAGCCTCACTGCTGGACAACCCCGGGCCGCAGCCTTGCCGGCCTGATGGGGAAGAGGCTTTGCAGGATACAGCCATAGACATGGGTGCTGGACCTGGCCAGGCCCGTGGCCCGTGGCATGTTGCCAGCAGCTGAGCCAAGTGGTGACCCCTCTGTGGCACAGGTCTGTCCTCCCCTGCCAGTCCCGCAAGGATGCAGTGCCAGCTCGGCACGAGTAGCACGGATGGGGCCATGTCCATACAAACACGTGTGTGGTTTATTAAGGCATTTTTTGAGAAGTTGGCACTTGGGTCCAGGCTGCGCCGGACGGCCCCTGCGCGGCCGCGGGCAGCGCCGGTACATGCAGCTCCGCGAGACACGATACAAAAGGTACAAACGAGTAAAAACAGGAATCGTAGTACAATGTGTAAAAATAAATAACTGGGGGCTCGGTGACCCCGGCCCGAAGTGGGGTGCGTGTGTCTGACCCTTCCGTGTGGTGTGCAGGGTGACCTGTCTGCGTCCCTGTCCCAGATGTGCAGTGGGAGCTGGGCTGTGTGGGCAGCCTGGGCAGAGCAGGGCTGGGGGGCACAGGGCATCCCCAGAGTGCCCCTGCAGGGGCTGAGAAGCACAGGACACCCCCAGAGTGCTCTCACAGGGCCCAGGGAGCACAACTTGTTCCCACAGTGCTTGGGAGCAGGACAAAGAGATGTGCCCACCAAAGATGGGGGTGCCCACCCCAAGAGCCTCTGTGAGCTGTCCCTGCACCAAAGCAGAAGTGTCCCCCCCCTCCCAGAGCCCCTCAGGTCCCTGTGGATCCCAGGCAGGGTGGACATGACCCTGTGCCCCATTAGTGCCCCCGTCACTGCTACAGATCCCTGTCCCTTGTCACTGCGACCCACTGTACATTGGGACTGGGGTGCAACACTGGGGGACCTCCACGGTGTAGGGACCCCCACAGCACAAGGGGGATGGGGGGCTGATGATGACAGATGGGGCTGCAGCCACAGATGGTTCTTGGAGGGAAATAAGGGGAACAGGCAACATCTTTGGNAAGGGGGATGGGGGGCTGATGATGACAGATGGGGCTGCAGCCACAGATGGTTCTTGGTGGGAAATAAGGGGAACAAGCAACATCTTTGGGGCTGGGGCTGCAGCCACTGCATGCAGGTGCTGGGTCTGGGGAAAGTGTGATGGGAGGAAGCTTCCCCCAGACCCTGCTCAGATGCGGGGTGTCCTCCCTGACCCCCAAACATGCTCATGCCCAGACTGGCTGTGAATTGAGGGCTGCCACAGGGCTCTCCATGCCCTGATTTGGCCCTCACTCTGCACCCACAGCTGTGTGGGGGTCACAACCTCGGGGGGCAGCGAGGCCGCAGTGGCAGAACCCCCGGCTGCACTGCCAGGGCTCCCGACTCGTGGCTGTTCCCTGTGAGCAGCTGTGGGCTCAGAGTAAGCTCCAGTGAGGGCTGAGCCTGGTGTGAGTGTGACATCGGCTCCACGGCCGGCTGTGCGAGGTGCTGGGAGGGGATGGGGACCGGCCCCATCACAGAGGGCTCTGTCCCGTGCTCACAACATGCATGCCAGGGGTGCAGAGCAGTCCTGCACAGGGGGCTGGGGCCAGTGGAGGTGGCGCCCGTGACCCAGACTGTCCCAGAGAGCAGTCACGCAACAGGGCCCCAGGGGAATCCAGCTGCCCAGTGTCCCCACTGTGGCTGTAAGAGAACGCGCTGGCTGCCACCACACCAGCTTCTGGCCACGTGGCTTTTTGGGGTACCCCCTCTCACCTGCATCCCTGCAGCTGCAGGCTGCCCACCAGGCCTCAGATGGATGGGGGTCACAGCAGCCATCACTGCTGCTCCTGGGGCTGGGCTGTCCCCACCACCTCTCACACAGCTCTGCCAGCCCCATTGCACTGCCCATGCTTGGACACTCTTCCAGCCTGGGATCCCCGCCCAGAGAGGCACCTGGCCCGGGGAATAGGGCTCCCACACTGAGCAGGACACCCGTCTCCCTGCCTGGAACCCCAGGAACAGCTCCCTGCAGCTCTGGGCAGGAGATCCCCTGGAAGCATCACCTGCACTGTGGGTGGTGGAAGGGCTGGAGAGACCTCAAAGGCTCCCCTGTCCCCACCCAGCCATGGACAGACAGCAGGACACTGGCACTGCCTTCTCCATCTGCCATATCCAGATGTGGGGTGGGTGTCCCCTCCCGGTCAGGGGGCAGGTTCAGCCCCCTGTCCCTGCAGACAGCACAGACAGATGGGCAGGCAGCATCCCTGCCCTGGGGCATTGCCCCCAGCTGTGGTGCATCATCCCCCTACCCTGGGAGATCATCCCCAGCTGTGGGGCATCGTCCCTCTGCCCTCGGACATCACCACCAGTGCTAGGGCACCATCCCCCTGCTCTGGGAGCAACTAGGGAAGGGGCAGCAGGGATAGGGCAGGGTCATCCTGCATCCGGGCTGCTGCATGGCCCTGGGGCTGGGGAGGGCAGGGTCTGGGTCTGCAGTCCCTGGCCCAGCAGCCCACTGCTCCCAGCCACTCCCAGAGCACTGAGTACCGTGACGCACCATCCTGCCCGGCGCCGATCCAAGACACTGTGAGCAGCACATGGACCATCGCCCCAGGGTGCCAGCACTGGGGTCAGCAGTCCATAGGGCACCAGCCAGTGTAGGGTCTGCCAGACCACAGGGACAGGGGCCACAGCCCCAAAGGACACAGGCACCCACAGCCCCTGGGGCCCAGGCCAGGTATAGTGCTGCGAGCAGGAGGAGCACCCGTGTAAGCAGCCCTGGGCTGGGCCCCGCTCCAGCCCCATGGCTCCGGGCTGGGGCGGAGGAGTCCAGGGGCCCAGCTCTAAATCCTGAGCTCGGCCTCCTCGGGGGGCTCCAGCGAGTGCTCAGCACTGATGGTGGAGGCCGACGGCCCCTGCGAGATGCCAAAGGGCGAGACCACGGGGGAGCGGGCGGCCAGCGGGGACAGTGACGGAGAGAAGCTGGGCGACATGGCCGAAGACGAGATGGAGCCCTCGTGGCTGATGGGCGAGCGGCGCAGGGAGGACAGGTGTGGGAAGGTCCTGCCCGGCGGCGGCTTGGGGGGCACGGACTTGGCGCCTGGGTGGGCCACCGAGGTGATGAGGGGTGGGGGGTCGATGCGGGGCTTGGGCTCTGCCTTGGGCTTGGCCTGGAAGGGCTTGCGCAGGGAGCTCTCATCCTTGAGGCGGGCGATCTCTGTGAAGACGCTGGCCAGCGGCTGGAACTGGGGGCACCAGTTCAGCAGGTAATCCCAGTTGTAGCTGCCACGGAGCTCCTCATCACTGGCCACGATGGCGGTGAGCGAGCCGTCCACGGAGGGCTTGCCATCCTCCGGGAAGGCGTAGTCCTGGGGCTGTGAGGAGACACTGAGGCCACAGCGGACACCCAGGAAGGCGCTGCCCCCCCCATCCTCGCGATACAGCTGTAAGGGTGGCCCCGGCAGCAGCAGCCCGGAGCCCTTCTTGCTCTTGAACCACTGGGCGCTCTCCAGCGCAGCCGGCTCACAGGAGATGTCGGAGAGCTGGTCGGCATCCTGCTGGATGCCGGAGTCAGGGCCGCGGGCAGCGATGTGCTCCTGCATAGAGGCCGTGATGCTGGCCACGCGCGGGTACTCGTTGATCATCCGGATCTCGTCATCCTCAGCGGCTTCAGCAGAGCCGCGGCCACTGGAGTGGGAGGGGTCCAGCGAGCCACCCCGTGTATAGGACCCTGCCGGCTCGGCCCCGTACCCCGGCAGTGCCTGGTGGTAGATATGCTCAGCCCCGGGCAGCGCTGGCTCCTCACGGCCCAGTTTCTGCAGGGACCCGCTCTGCGTGCGAGCCAGAACTCCGTCCCCCTCCGCCTTCTTGCGGCCCTGGCGCTGCCGGGAGCGCACCAGTGCCAGCACAATAGCCACGGCGGCCAGCACCACCACAACACCCAGCGAGGCGGCCACGGCCACCAGCAGCAGGTTGAGGTCAGGTGCCAGGCCAAAGGAGGTGTGTGTGACATCGATGGTGACTTGTGTGGAGGCCACACGGGAGGCGGGCAGGGGGCTGCGTGCCTGCACCTCCAGGCTCATCTCCCGTGGCTCCCTCTTGGCGCGCCCTGCCCCGGCCTGGGGCTGGCTGTCCACGCGCAGGTAGATGGTGCCCGTGGTCTGGTTGATGGCAAAGTACGGCGAGGGCTTTGCCAGGGCATACAGGACAACGCCGTCAGCCCCCTCATCCTCATCCGTGGCCAGCACACGCCCAATGCTCTGCCCTTTGCGCGCGCCCTCAGGCACCTCAAAGTTGAAAGAGGGGCTCAGGAAAATGGGATCATACTCGTCTTCCCCCGTCACCAGCACCCGCACGGTCACCGTGGCCGA